AGATCAGTATAATCTGACGGCTTTCCACGAGACGAACTGTAAGTGTAGCGAAGACCATCGAAACGATAATCATCAAACCACTAAGGATGCTCGACCACAACACTCGATTTTCAAACTGGAACATATTTTCTTCTTAAGGTGGCGATTATACTTCGCGAATAGAGCGATTCAGTCGCGCGATTCATGAATCGGGTGATGCGGTTGACTACGCTTCTCCCTCAATCATTGAACTACTGCAACGGCAGTTCAACCACGTTCAGGAGAGATGTCTTCGAGCGTTACAGCGGCCGAACGATTAGCGATGGAGAGCAGTCGGTGGCGATCGCGTGAATGATCCTACGAAAGTGGCAACGAGTTACTCTACATATCCCGTACCCTGAGCAATGGGTCATCCCTCTAAGAAGTTATCCATCGGTAAAACAGATCGAGTCTTGGAAACCTTTTTACACATTTTCTACATTATAGGACGTCAGAAGGTCAACAACTTGGCCCCCTCCTCACCTGCGTCGAGAGTCTGACTGGACAGTGCAGGTTGATTTCGGGACCAGAACATCTACACAAACACCATAGAAAGTAACTCACATCATCTTCCTGGCGCACATCGCCACGCGTTACCATGTCGTGACGACACCACATAAGTCATCTCGGTGGAAGACTCAAAGATAGCCCATTCGCTTGATATCACTGCAATTGAACCTTTTGAGAAATACGCTCAAGACAGATTTATCAGAGAGAAACTCTTCCCGGCGCTGTTCGGCTAATATAAGAAGGGAGCGGGGGGGGGGGGGTTGACGTTTGCTAGTTCCTTGCCAGTTCATGTAACAGGTGCGACTTCGATAGAACTTGTAAACGCTTGTGAAGCTGCAAAGAGAGGTGCAACTAGAACACACTGGTTACAGGAAATTTCAGGTTTTCACGTTGTGGCCTGTACAGACTTCACTAAGTACCATTTGATGCCCCACCTAGCCGAATGGTGAAGGGTCAGATAGGTCGGCGACAATGAATTTGCTTGATCTCACTCTCCGCTCCTCTCTCTCTCCTCTCTCCTCTCTCCTCTCTCCATGAGCACCCCAATAGCTATTTTCATGTTACAGTGCTAAAATGAAATAGCATGACTCGCAGACTGGGCTTTTGGAAAAGTTAATGGAATATTTTGATAACTGAAAGCGCAACGACCGTAGCTCTTTACTTACCTATTTGTAATACAACAACTGCAGGGCATAGCCAGAGAAAAATAGGAGAATTGTCACTGATCGCTCCGTCGAACCTCACCTCGAGCAGTCAACAGTTCAACTCTCCAAATGCATAAACTCTGAAAATAGTTCAGACGAAGCGTATGAGTGTATTAAGATCCTACTGACAGCCTGAAAATGTGAGCTCACTTTAACAGTTATCGGTGCAAACACAGCAGCGACTGCGACCGGGAATAACACCCTCCTCGTGAAACATGCAATCGGGTTCGGTGTCATGAAGAACCCTATCGAAACCAGGCACAGTATTGCTAGACCTGAAAATTTAAAGTCACAGAACATCATATTGGGCGAGGACAGGTGATGGTAGGGGGCCACGCCTCTTTTCTATTCTGCTCGTCTGCTTCCTCTCATGAAGTACTTGGTGAGTTCGACTGACATCGGTAAGGACGCCGATAAGCAGAAAGTGGAGGCGACCCATCTTACTGGTCCTCCAACTACATTAGCAATCATTACTAGACTAACCTAAGTAAGGTCAATATCACATTGTGGTGACATTGAGAAATGGATAAAAAAAAGAAGCTTCCAGAAGATTCGGAGAAAATAATACATCAGAAGTGGAAACGCAGACAAAGTCCTCTGCATCTCTGCCATTCATGGTCATCTTGAGCAAGGCATCGCACATTGGAGATCCCTAGCTTGGAGAGGGGGGGGGGCTTATTTGGTCGTCTGAGGAAGGGGGATCATACCTGCCTTTGAGAATAATGGTTCCGATTTGGTTTTTGACTGTTCTCGGTTATTTCCGTTCCACGGGCCCTATTAGGAAGACGGTGAATGGGATAGGGATGGAGAGGGGGTTGCGTAGGAGGGGGAAATTGGGGATAGGAGTCGTATTTCTGCAATATTTTTCCCGCAACGGCAGAACGTGCTCCGATCTCAAGCAGTCTGTATACAATATCTGGGGCTAATAACCTTGGAACGGCATTCACAGGACTCATGCAAGACTAGAGTGCTTGAGCTTAGAGGGCGCAGGAAGTTCGGGGATAGGTGAACCAATTCAAGTTACGGTAATGGTATTCGGATGACGATAATACCAATTTTTCACATGAAGTTCCCATAGATGCCCCCTCCAACCTTACCAGCGCCCCATGCCTTACCTCCAAAAGTGAATGCCGTACAGATTCGATACGTCTCGTTGGTGCAGATCACTTGCTGGTACATACACATCAAGCATACAAAGGATGCCAACACTGAAAGGTGGAAATTCTTCGCTAATGGTACCTCGCATTAAAACGGGGTTATGTCACCTGCACATATTGTGTAGACCAGGACCGTAACACTCCTCAGAGACTCCCGAAAACTTGATGTGATCGCTGTCTGTGAGCGACGTGCCAATTCCGCTGAGCATGTCGACCTGAAGAGGAGAAATATGGTTGCGAAGGGGTGTGGGTCAGGAGGTCCGAGTCGCGGCTGCGCGGCGGGGACGACTCTCCCAGCGGCGTCGCACAAATAGCGCAGATTGAGAGAAGTAAGAGAGGTAATTTACTCTGCCGCGAAGGTGATGGACTAGAGCGCTGCCGCAACTAGGATCTTCTGGCCCGCACCCTAGGATAGGGGTGGAATCGATTTCTATGGGAACGGATATCATGCCGTGAGCTGCATATGAGAAGAATAAAGTCATAAAAACGTTTCCATTGATTATAAAACGTTCTAAGGTCACATACTTTGGGCAGGTGGATCTTAATGGTACTCTGGTGCCATCTCGTTCTTCCATCACCAATGCAGCACTGCCTGTGTAGGTGAAACCGAACAGCGAGTTCCATTCGGCAATTGGCTCATATTCCAGTTGAGCATCAAAGAGCACTCGATTGATAACCAGAGTTTGATCGCGGAATGACGTCGTCTCGTTGAATGATATCACTAAAAAAAGGCAAAATACAAAGGTGAAAGCGGCTGAGCTCCACAAACTCCACTCACGTTCATTGGAAAACGGGTGAGAGAACTGAAGAGAAAGAATCGAAGAGAATAGCAATTCTTGCGGATCATTGATACAGTCGCTCAAACGTTGGATGAGTGCACCTAAATGAACAACTACAAACAACAGGAACAGTTTTCGAAAAGAAAAATGAATAAAAGCCTAAGGCATAACTGGCCTAGACAATGACTTGAGACTTTACGGCGGCCAAATGGCCGTAGCCGAGCCCATCGCTGAGCCTCCATCATAGATGCGCTGTTTCTTTCCGAGACGGCGAAAAAAAGAGAGTACGCCAACCACGGAGGCACAATGCCAGGTTTGGCTCCGCCTATATGATCAGCGTGGATTGGAAAAGCAATTTCGGACCAGTTTCCCGTTGGCATCTTGCCGGGGACCGCTACGGCAGGTATGACTGCACATATGTACCCATGTACCCATGCAGTATCGCAGCCAGTCCATACCAAACTCTTCGTTTATATCACAAGAATGCTGAGTTATGGGCAAAAGTCGGACCACGGACGGGATTCGAACCCGCATCTTCTGCTTACCGGGCAGTTGCGTTCCCTATTACGCTACCGGGGCCACTTTTGACCTCTCAGCTCAATGGCTATTTGTGCCATTGCCTTCGAGCACTCACACGTTCAACGTGATGAGCCGGTTAGCCGATATCGGCAGTGAACCAGCGCAACCGGTAATAGGGAACGCAACTGCCCGGTAAGCAGAAGATGCGGGTTCGAATCCCGTCCGTGGTCCGACTTTTGCCCATAACTCAGCATTCTTGTGATAGCTTTCGGATCGCGTACTGCGGCGTTAAACAGCAGTTATCAAACAATAACAGCTTCAATCTTCGTTTATATTTTACTTAGCAAATGAAGCAATACGATCATCAGGTGCGGTCGTCCATTTGTGGGCGGGCGGGCGCGGTGGGCTTTTCAGGTCGGTATGTTGTAACTTTAGGGCCCTATAAGGGCAGCTTGAGAAGGCGCTAAGCTGTGTCTGCTCAGAGTCGCAGAATTCCGTCCTGCCAGGCATATTAATCCTACTCGTCTTAGGAGTTTATAGTGCCAACTGCCTTTAATGAGATGGGGGGGGGGGGTGATCACCCTGTGGCAAGAAGCCTTCGGCGCTGACCATTCTCATTTGGGATGCGCTTTCCATTTTCACACCGAACTGCTGCAATATTATGAAGGCACTTTAACCTACAGAGCGAATGACGGTAGCCAATGAACAAGTCATCTTCTCTGTCTGGTGTCAGTTTACCGGCCTAGGAGTGTACAGGGATTGCTTGCTTGGCTAAGTAAAGCTCCGATCTGTGATTAAAGCTCCCAAACCATGCGCAGTAAGCAGCGCCTCTTCCCTTTATACATCCTATAGGAACTAACTAGAACTAGATTTCGTCATAAAAATGGCCGAAGTATTGCCTCCTGCTGAACAAAATCTATAAAACTTTCAATTTTAGATAGTCCTTTAGAAGGAGACTAAGAACGTCTCAGAGGCAGCGCACCTGGGCACACGTTGTCAACCATTTTCCTGGTGGCATGAGCAATGGCGCTCACCTGAAACGAGTTCAGTATAGCGCCGTATTGATGTGGGCTTTTGAAATCAACACAGCGAAGCAAAATTCCTTACCGCAATGGAAATCGGGCCAATGTCAAGATCAGGAGCAATAGCGGTGACGTTGAGCGTCTGTTTGTGGGAGCATTGCCTGAATTGTTGGGTGTCTTTGGAGGCACATTCGGCACTGGTCGTATGGGCGGTGACAGTCAACTATCGTGCCTTCACTGTCAGCAGTCTAGAATATGAGGCGCCAATGAAGGTGCCCCCATACCTAGAGTGCTGATGTGAGAATGAGCGCAAGAAGGTAGAATTGTTAACTGTCGCCTCGCTCACGATCAGCATGGTCTGTGGTTTTGAAGGCAGTGAGCACGATCGCTGGGGGCGAGCGGCTGATGCCAGCGTCATTACTGGAAGGGCTGCGGGTGCTTGGCCACACCGCTCAGCTCTTTCACCAGTAGCACTGACGACAATCCGCCCGCTTCCCCATAGATCGTGCCCGCTGCCTTGAAATGAGAGGCACTTATGATTGAGAGTTTCTCGAATCGGCTTACAACAGTACTTGGAAAACTGCTGGCCGGCCACAGCTTCGCCATCGATATGGCATTGAAAAGCGGTGGCCCAAAACTGTTTTAGCCAATGCTGTGGAAATGGTAATGTGGCGATCTTTGAGGTCAGTTCGATTAGATGTTGTGGTTGGACCGTCTTCTCAGGCGCTACCTGGAAATTTAAAATACTTTCACCAAAAGCATAGTTGAGGATAATGAGGTGCTCAACTGCGGATGGCTTTGCTTTCATCCCTTATCAGTTGCTGTCACTTAGTGTCAGCCCCCGGCCTAGGCTTAGGCTTAGGCAGCGGCTTAGGCTTAGGCTCTCCCCCGATTTAACGAAGTGGGTGGAGCTTCCCAC